TCACCTCAACCATTTCCACGGGATAAGTGGCCATATATTTTCCAAAGAGTCACCGTCATCGATTAGGTACTATAGTGCTATCTCAATTACGTAAACTTTTACCCAGATTGCATTTACATATCATAAAACTGTCTAAATTGTGTACAAATAGGTATAAAACATGTATACCTGTCCAAATTAAAAGAATATCGATTTTTTAACAGTTCTAACGAATTACGTTTTTCTTAAACTATTTTATCTCATACTTTCTACAGACGTGGAGTGTCCATTTTTGAAAATTTCATTTTTAAAAACAAACATAACCTATCAACCTTGCCATGAAAAAGTTTCAGCAAAATTCTCAAAAATGACTGTTGCCTTAATCTCTTGCAGTGGCTTACGGAAATTTTACTAATCAAACTAATATACAGCAAGCGCCAAACGTGATGGCGAGCAATCGAGCAGGTATAGACTTTCCCAGCTAAATCACTGTTGGATTACGATAAGCCACTAGCCGGCCAGAGTCGTACCTATAATTATTAGTTTTAATTAGGGTAGTGAATTGAACATGACTTTTTTTAAATTAATTTTCATATTTTATTTAGTATTATAGATAGTAGTAGTAGGTTAAGTTCATTAAAATGTTATATAATGATGACGATGACATCTTTTCAGAAACAACAAATTATCCAGACAATGCCAAACGCCAACAGCATTGGAGGACAAGTAATGATACGCCTCTGTACAGAGCATTTGTATGAGTTGCTGTAGTAGGGGTTACATTGAAAATGAGTTTGTGCGTATGCGGGCGGGCGGGCTTGCCATCACGTTTGGCGCTTGCTGTAATTATATAATGAAATATATAGGATCACAATCTGACAACAATGTTTTTGTTTGAATGCAATAATACTTCTGATAATTTAGTGTCTACTATTATGGAATTTGTCAATTGTCAACGAGCTGCCATCGCTTGCACAAATGCATTTTTTGGTTTAAAGTAACTAGTGGTTTAGATGAACTTGATGTTCCGATAAAGAATTGGTAATTATAGTAATTTCCAGTTTTTTCTTGTTTTTACGTTGATCCATCAGAAATGAATATTTTTTCTCTAATAATTTAAAATATGAATTTCTTTTTGTGTGATATCATCGTCATCATTCATACTTGATCACACAATTATTAGGAAGTTTATCAATATATCATAGGATCAATGCCTACATAATTTTGGATTATAGCTCGTATGAATTGATTCCCATGATTCACTATTTCCGTGGAATATAAGTCAGGCTTTCTTTTGTTTTGAAATCGCTGTACATTCTAGCCTTGTTTCCTGATTTTATTAGATGGAATATCTTCTGTATAAAATTTTTCCTGCTCTCAGTTTTGCGTTTGTAGTGACTGATGTATGCTTATGTTTGGATACATACGATGTCCAGACTTTTCTGTGAGCTTACAGTCACTGAAAGCCTTCATTTTGAGAGAAATTTGTTTCGATATTTTCTCCTCACACGACTGCAACTGCATTGAGTAGACATTTTTTCAGTAAATAAGAACTATGAAGGCGATTATCACCGTAATTCATCATACTTAGTTCAACATACACATGTAGCAACGAGATTTTCACTGTTCCAGACAGATTTGAAAATACAGAAAATACATACAGAAAAAAGAAAATCTTCAACGTTTCAACGTGGTATAATTTGTTTTCTAAAGAAAGTTTTGATATTTCCTTTGTGGACTAATATTGAATGAAAAGTAGTGGCTACTATTACATTCTTTGTATCTGTTGGTAAAAATAACATTCCAATGTACCTATATGTTTTGTCTTGCGTAATTGCATCTCCCAAAGTTTTTAAATATTGAGTATATGGTTATCCTAATTTACTAGTCGATGCTTCAATCTCATCACTTTTTTGTGTAGATAAAACCAGCGGCGAACTTCGAAAAGAAAGTCGATAAAAATGAATTTTGTGTGTTGATAAAGCATTGCTCTCTGGCGAAAAAAAAAAAAACTGTTGAAGCCAGGGCTTGGCTTGATAAACATTATTCGGACTTTGCACGAGGAAAATCAACCTCTGAGAAGTGATTTGCTAAGTTTAAACGAAGTGAAATGAGCACTGAGAACGATGCACGCAGTGGACGGAAACTGTTACCGAAAGTCGTTCAAAAAATAAAAGACGTACACCACACAACTGATTAATCTTTTAGAAAAAAACTTTCTGGATTTCTACCTAGAAATATTAGAAACCAACAATATTTTTTCCAAAAAATTAATCTCTCCTAAAAATTTGAATTGATTTCTTTCACAAATACTTTTTTGATGAATTTTCGTTACTGAAATTTTTGAATACGTAATAAAAAATAACAGACATGAAAAAAAGTGTCAAAAAAGAATGTTAGAGAAACGTAAAAATAATGATCCTAAGATTTTTGGTAATTATGATAATTATTAACACAAGTGGTTTATGACCTAGGTACTAAACTTGCTACAAAATATGGAACAACCGGTATTCAGAAAGAAGGAGATCATTATTCAACATAAACTTTTTAAAAACGCAAACAGAAACGCTGAAATGATGATCGTTAGATTTATGGTCATCATTACCATTATTTCGGCAGGAAATTTATGACCTACAAAATATAAGACACCCTGTAACCGAAAGAAGGGAATCACTAGTCCTAATTGTGATAAACACGTTTTATAGAATGTAAGAAAAAATATCGGAAACGCACAAACCACGACATTCAATTTTCATCATCATGGTTTCATTCAACATAAAGTTTTTTGAAAAATCTTAGGTTACAATTTTGTTATATATTTTGACAATGAAAGGATGATATACTATTCAACGATTTTCTACCTGTTCCTTCAGGCAAGCTTTAAATTTATTCAATTCTCTGTAAGGATTTAATTTGGGCAATACATTTTTCACATACCTAGTTATCATGAGAAATTATATCCGGGTGCTATCTTTGTCGAGATCTTCATTCTACTGAGTATCTATTCTGGATATTATGATTCAATATGGTACAAGCATTAAAAATTAATCAAAAAGTTATTTCCAATTTGAAAGAAAAGTATAACAAATGTTTTTTGGATAACTGCAACTGGACAAGAAAATAAAACTACTATTATTTTTTTTTATCTCTTATTGTTCAAGAATTTCTAATGAAATTGTTGGTGAAACAAGCGTCAAGAAGAATTTTGTAGTTCTGGTATTTGGGAACAGTGTTTGTTTTGATACATCTCTAATAATTTCATTTTATCGGAATTCACAACTTAATGTCTTCCGCTAATATTTATGTCACAGTTGCTTCACTTCAAAAATTTTGTAAAGAAATATAAGGATCTATTATACTCTACCCTGATTTTTGTCTGAAAAGTCCGAGATATTCGAGCATTTCACTAGATATTGTAGAAGGGTCGGGACTTTTGGGATTCATGCAGGTAGACTGACGAGAAGGCGAGTTCTTGGATTTACTGACTACAAAGACCAACCGAGAAAGAACATTAATATCAGAATTCAGGTTGAATGCAATATTATATTTTTCGTAACTTACTTTTAATCATATTCAAACAACTCTAAAATTAAGTATTGTCAATAATACTGTCGAAATGAATAAATAAACTAAGATAGGTAGTCTTGTGCAATTCAATAAATATTCCATATTCTGTGCTATTTATATCAGTTTAGGATTCAGTTTAGTTCAATCGGTGATAGTGATATTATTTACTTTACATATAATAATTATTACACTGACCCGTTACTTGATGAAAATTAATAACACTATCTTTGATAATAAAATAATTACCTCACTAATGAAATCACTAAAGGCATGTTTCACAACACAGTAGCTTTCTCAGTCGGGTGGTTCAAATTTAGAAGGTATTTTCATTAATTAGTAATGAGGGGAATATTAAGAAATTTTCAACATTTAGTAATATTCATTTGTCAATTTCAATCTTTATTGACAGTAGTTTAATAAGTCCAGTGGTCAAATCCAGAGACTTTCAATTGGCGATAAATGATCTAACAATTGTCCCATAGTACGTCAATTGAACTCCATTATGGACTAGTCCGACTACAACTTGAAAAATATTACGAGAACAATATACGCCTAGAAATTTCGGAAACGAGTGCAATACCTGGAAATGCATAAATAGGGTCCATAGAATTAATACCACAAAAGTACACCGGGTCTTAGCCGGCTAAAAAAGTCCAACTCAAATGTATTTCATCTCTTGTCTACTATGTTTCCAATCACTTCCATAACTATACTCGGGCTATTTAAAAAAAAAAAAGATATTTTCATTCTATGGATGATAACATTGATAAGACTGCTCCTTTCTAAAATGAATGGTGCTTAACCAAAATGTTCCCCTTGAAAGTAAAAAATAAACAATCAATTTATTTACACTGAGCATTAGTGACGACCTGTTAGTTTTATCCACCTTCAGGTTGATAAAACTGCAAAATGTTGTGCAATTGAGAAATTCGTTTAGCATTCAAATATTAGAATAATACCGATACGAGAAGAGATAAAAAAATTAGAACTGATTTTTTCTGATCTGAATACATACATTTATTAATCTGCATTACTACAAAAAGTCGGGCAGTGTGTGTGGCGGATATTTTTTAGAGAAAGTTCTTTGTGAAGTCATCAGATTAGATTATTGATTATTAAAATTGCTGAGTACCTATTCACCGCACCTCAGTGATTCATTCGGTATAATACCTAACTATAGAAAAAGAATAGATTCAAGTCAATGAATAAATTCGAAAATTTCCAAATCAACTATCTTCTCTAAAAGTTCCACGAATAATAAAAATATATCATACCCGTCGTGATATCTTATGAACCGTAATCCAAAGTAATCCAGTGTTACACCTAACAACTAGCACTACCCTCGTAGCTTTCTACGTCCTGTTGTAAGGCAGAGCTATCCGATATATTATCCCACACTAAGTCACATTCATTTCTAGACTAAGGAACAGGAAGGGAAGGGGATATTTTATCACCTTATTCCAAACAAAGCGATGTATTCCAAAATATTCAGGTCACTGCAACATCAACACGTCAAACACTATGTAACTTGATTACGTAATTCCGAATTTAACGTAATAGCACACACTTGTCAAATCTCGTAATCAGTAAAAAATTCCTACGTGGGGTAACTGTGACAGCCTGTGCTCGACCGCCACCTTACCACTATCGTTTTGGAACTGTTTGCTGTTTGTGTAGTTTCTATCACATCACATCACAGACATCACGTTGACTGTTACCCAGTTGGGATGGTTATGGGGGAGTGGGGTGGGAGAAGTGGTCACACACATAGTTATTTCAATGTTGTCAGATTTACACACCGGATCTTCACTTGTAGAGCCAAATGTGGTGTGGGGAAGAAGCCAAGACTTCCTATTTGTAACGCATGATGTGATTTCCTTACGAGGGGCGTTGAATAAGTTTGCTTCAACACATGCTAACTGTGTGGTACTGAAAAATAAGACGCATGCGCAATTTATTTAATATTTAGATGTGGCGAATGACAATAAATACCTTCATTGCAACGTTTAATCAAACATCGAAAACACGTTAGTCAATTCATTTTTATGCAGTGTTATATATTGTGAGTGACTTCAGATCATCCGTTAAATGTGAGAAAGAAATATTAGCAATAAACAACTGAATGTATATTATAGACCAGCTTACATTTTTGGCTTTTTGAATTTTCGATAGTGAAAGTCGTTTATATTGAATAAAACGACATTAAGAAATGCTACCAAAGATTCCTATTATTAAACTTCATTCGATTTAGCAAAAAAAAAACTGATCTGGTAAAGAGACACCGTAAAATTCATTCTGTTCGACGAAAAGATAAACAAACGGTTAATTGAATTATTGATGTATGCTTATGAGTTCGGACAAAAAATTTATGTCTTTTTGGGAATATAACCAAAAACAAATAACTAAATTTCATGGAATCGGACATAAGAGAAAACAATATTGACGAAGATATTTTCTTAATTCATCCCAACATTAAATTTTTACAAAGTAATGTTGTACTTCCAAGATGAATGATGTTGTATACTGTATACATGTTTTTGCCACTGCTTATGTACCACCTAAACAACGTTTTCATCAAATATCAACAAACTGGATGTTCAAATAACCTCTATCTAATGTTGTCAAGCAGTTATTCCTACATTTTTATAACATCAGATGAACATTTTGAATCATTCGTTTTAGAAATGTATTAAATAGCTCATCAAGACACTAAAATAATGAGCTAAATATATATTGATAAAACAACCTTCAGTTGAATTTCATTAGTTCAGACTTCCATTGTCTAATATGTCAAAAAATGGTTTCAAATCCCTAAAAGAACAAATAACATTGAAAATTAAAATGAATAGCTGAAAATAACAATTATATTGAGCAAAAAATCCTGAAATGAAATTATAATAAAATAAAACTAAGCAAGATATTCAACAAATAAAATGCAATAAAAATTAACATTCAAGTCAAGTTCTTCACGACGTTTCGATTGTTAGTATCCAAAATCGTCTTCGAGTCTTCGAGTGAAAGCACTCGAATGACCTATAAATAGTCACAATGTATCGATTCTTAATTTATTTAAACTGATAAACATTTTCAACACAGTATATAATTTTCCAGTTGAAAGCCTGAAAAACAACTTTATTCAAAATTTTTTTTCATTATGATTTCCTACCACGTAGTAACGGCTACATCCATCAATTTATTGAAATTTTCCAAAGTTTACTGTTTGAATATTTGTTTGAATATTTGCCAAGCAGTCAGAATTTGTTTAATCTGCATTAAGCCTTTCAATACATAACATACTGAAATACTTCTATGTGAGATTTTTAAAAACCAGTTTTACGAAACAGCTTTTGTAAAATGTTTCGGTAATGTCAAACTGGTTTGTGAAAATCTCTTGTTATTATTTTGTCAATAAGTTAGTTACAAATTTTCATCAAGTATCGGGTAATTCCATCTCCAACGAAAAAACATTTTTTCATCATTGAATTTAATTGAAATGAATTGAAAATCAGTACACGTCTCAGTAATGACTTCAAGTTAGGTTGATTTGATCTGTTTCTGTATTACGATTATCAAGTGTTTATAAGGATTCATCCTCTCGCATTCACATTGAATTTGAATCGCTGGAGATTATATCCATTTGGAAAAACGTTTTCAAAAAGTTCATTCCACATAAACGCAGTTCTCCAAATGAAAGAGTTCTTGAACATTATGAAATAAATACCAAAGTACCTACTTATAGTATTTAAACTGAATATACCAATAGTTAGTGCTATAGAACTGAGGCGTTTTCATCGAACAGCTTCTAAGAAATGAGAAGAGGTTTGCAGTAGGTTTGACATTTTCTGGAATTTCGGCTAGCAATATTTTATACCAAAATTTTATCAGCATCTCCTCGAGTTGAAATATTCAACAGGTGCAAAAGTGAAAAGGTGCAAAAGTGAAAAATAATGATTCATTCAGAGTTTGATAAATTTTAATTGAAATGTAAGAAAAACAAAATAATTTGAAAGAAGCTGAGTGTTTGCTTTGGCTGAGATATTACCTTTCTGAAGTTTTTACTAATTTTTTGAGGCGCTGTTTGGCAAAACGCAACCAGTGCATCACAACCAACTCAAATTCCTTGTCCTTGGTATAGTACGGAAGTGTTTTTATAGCATCTGCAAGAGACGAATTTAATTTTCAACAATTATTTTTTAAAAGATATTTGTGTAACCTTATTAATTAAATAAAGGTTAGAGAGGTCTATTCTCTTTCAACCAATTACTAATTTTCCAAAACAGTAACACTGAATGAGTCTCAAACAAGATTTTCAAAACAAACTAAAAAAATTCATTAACAAAATGTAATTATAGCAGAAGCATGAGAAGAAAAGAGGTAGATGATCAATTCAGCATTTGTGAACAATGAAATTTTTCCACTCTATTGTAGAGATCCTTATTACCACATTTAACACATTTTATATAGGTACTCGCCTGGGTAATAGATAATATAAAATGATCACTCAATTCTCAAGATTGCTACCACTGTCATATCTCCAACATTGAAATTATGTTTGTCCTGTCCAGGAACACACCATTGCCATTTGACCCTTCAAAATAGTTGGCAGATATCTTCTTATTGAATTTGTGTATTCTAATACCCCAACCAGCATTAATTTGTTGAACTATAAAAAATCAAAACTATTTTGAGAAACTTTTTCACGAGTCATTTGAATGCCTTGATGGTTGTAGCCGTTACTAGGTGGTAGACCATTATGAAAAATGAGTAATATAACTTTATATATTACAAGCAGAATACTTGTAAGTATAGTTCAAGTAAACGATATAGTGCAACCTACCTTTCAACAGCTCCCCTTTAATATTATAGTTAAGGAGCTAACTAATTTCGTTATTCAATAATTATTTCTGATTATATAGGAATCACAATAACTATATTATATATATTTGTTCCGTGGTTCTTGAGTTTTGGATTTTCTTGGAAAATGGAAATTTTTCTTTTATTTATGAATCAAGACGTTTCACCCCTGGCTAGGGGCTTTTTCAATTATTTATTTAAAAATTTTGTTATAACACATTGGGCATTTGACTGGTTTCCTGAAATAGAATACAATTTTTATTTCTAATTCCTTTCCTTTAAATTGATACATTTGTTGAACGTTTACAATCTTTTGTTTTGTACATACTTTGTTTAAAATTATTGTTAACTTTTCAAAATGCAAACAATATTGATGTTTTTTTTGAGAAATTGGAATGAGCGTTGTTTTCTTGAAAATGGCAGGTAGAAGGATCTTCTGCCTGCCATTTTCCAGGTGAAGTTACAATCGGTCTTTCTGTTTTTGTGAACTCTTGAGAAGCAATGTTTTATACGCTTCGA